ATTTTTAGAAGCACAACGATTTTTAAAGTATTGTGTATTTATTTTACAAGTATTGATTTGAGATATTGCCCTTTTCAGCTTAAACGAACTCTAACTCAATGTAACATTATATTTTTCAATAGCAACTACATGATTTCCTAACATCTTTGCTTAAAAATAGTCAGAGAAAAAAAATTTTACACGATTTTTGTAGCTATAAAATACATAAGTTGAAACCATGTAAAAATGACAGCTCGATTTAAATTAATAGAAACTGAAAAATATGTTCAGTAACAACAGTGTACAGTGACAAATCTTATCAAACTGCAATTCTTTGGTGCAGCTACGAATACATATTAGAGAAGTCGTATGGAGTATTATTTTACGACACATTTCAAAATAATGTTGATTATATAAATATTCTACGCATAAACAAAGGATTACCTGAATCATTTGAGACACACTTGAAACGCCAGACCACTCTATCACTTAGCCTACTTCAGTTGTACTTTTGTTATCTCTTATCTAAATCCCCTTGCACACATTGATAACAAAAACCTGACGAAGTATCACTCATAACCGGATTGTTGCGGAATTTCTAAGAAACATACTCATAAATTAAACAACACGTAATTATTTAGAGTGATGAGTTTTCGTTCTACAATGTGATATGTGGTAAATATATATTCATTTATTAACCCTTAGAACAGCTGATCTCAGTATTGAATTTAAAACTAGAGCGCCTATAGCCTCCTTTAATACAAGGCCGTAGTGAGAGAAAAGTGGCAACGCCGCATCCCCGGCCTACCAAAACAGCGTTGTTACCATAGCAATAGGCCGGCCGGTGCGACGTTGCCACACCAACACCGCAGCCTTGTATTAGAGGAGGTTATGGAGCGTCTAAAAAAACCCAGTTGTAAAATCTATAGCTAGAGATGTTAAATATTATGTAATAATTCTATACCTTAAAAATATTCATTTTTTCAAACAAACGAATACTAACGCAAAGTATGTTTATGAATATATCCATATCAAAATATAAATAAAGAATTGTGTACACTTATGTCTAATTATTATTTTATACGAATCAGTGCTATTAAAATCCAAATTTTTTAAAACATTGTATTTCCATAAGCAAGACAACGTAGTGTAATAATGTTTATACATCTAATATTTTAATGGACAATAATAGCCACTTCTGAAAATTGAAATAACTTTTAAATAGTTTAAAAACCAAATGAAAATCTCAATTTTTCCAATATTTTAAAACAAATATATATTGCCTTCAGACGCACACGCTCTCTTCTCCTTATAAATATACCATGTACACTACAGTTCTTAATATACTTCAGAATTATTTATTTAGACTATTCATCAATAAAACTAGTTTTTTTTTTTAAGTGTTAAGTAACTTTTAAGGAGTTATTTAATCATTTAATTACACACGATGTACAAAATGCTACATGATATCCAAACAATATTTCTCGGGGCCCATAACATGGTATAGTTTCAAATTACAGTTATATAAAGCACTGCTATACAATATGAAAATATGATCCATTTGTGTATCGACTCACGAGTATAAGTAACTAAAATATGATATAGTCAATGTTGTATGATTGCATGACATGAAGATAATTCAGTTTAAAGCTAATTCGGTTAGAAATAATACACAGTTAACAGTAGAAAAAAAGGATATACATACGAACAATGCGATAGTTTACTTTAACAAAAAGTTCTAATAAATGTTCATCATTGAAAATAGAGGAATGATGTACAATCGGAAAAACAGAAAAAAAGACAAACGTAATACAAAAAAAGTCTAAAATTTAGATCAGTTTTGCTCCAGTTTATGGAGGACAACGGACATTAATTTTAACGTAGTGAATAAATTTTTTTTAATTTTGAAATATCAAAACAATACATTCGGAACAAATTCAAACAAATTTAAACGACAGTTATGTAAGAACATCTTAAACATTTTTATTTTGAAATAAATATAGAAATCTTTCAAAAATTTAGCCAACTAATCTCCAAAATAATCTACTAATCATTCCGAAGTTAATTTAACTCTGTAAGCCTTCATTTGTGCGTCAAAGGGGGTCCCAACTCAATTCAAATAAATCGAAATATCCGTAGAAACCTAATAGAGGTTATATTTATGAATCTACTACTGTGCGAATATTCCAAAGGAATTACTTGGAAATTCCCATCACCTTAACTGTTTGTGGGAGGAATGTGTTGAAATAACTGCTTACGGGTAGGACACAATATTTTGAGCTGTGACTAATATGAGAACACATTACTTAGTTAAGAAAACAGTGCAAATACAGTATATAGAAAAAGGGTTGACAAACACGACCGCATATAATAAAAGCCATCCATTTTGGCTTTGTCTGCCATAAGAGCAATGTTAATTTCGTTGATTTCAAACAGCCGCTGAAAAGTTATTTACAACAATCTCAACATATTTTTTCAAATACCTAAGAGATTGTAATTTTAATATCTAGTGCACTGTCGGATTACAAACTGTCCTCCAACTTTTGTAATAGTTTTAAGAATTATAACGTCTAGGCTCCAAGGACTCTTAAGGAAAATTGACAAAATGTCTTAACTTAAAGTTTTGTTTGCCAATAGAGACACTTTTATGTAAAGCACGTTCCCTAGTGCACACTTAACTAGCTTTTCAGCTAGTGAGGGATGTTTGAATACCTATGGGAATATTCAAAGGCATGCAGAAGAAGAAAAAAATAGTCTCCTAACTTAGCACCTAATTTGCCAAAGAGGTTTTAAAAGTGGCCAAAACGTGTCCTACTACTACCTGTAACGCCGGTTTGGGAAAAGTTGGTCGGAATTGTACCCCCTTGGAATTGTGATACAAGTTGGGTTGAAATTGTACCCCCTGGAATTGTGATACAAGTTGGGTTGGAATTGTACCCCACTGGAATTGTGATGCAAGTTCGGTTGGAATTGTACCCCCCTGGAATTGTGATACAAGTTTGGCCAGGATTGTACCCCCCTGGAATTATGATACAAGTTTGGTCGGAATTTACCCCCCTGGAATTGTGATACAAGTTGGGTTGGAATTGTAGCCCCTGGAATTGTGATACAAGTTTGGTCGAAATTGACCCCCCTGGAATTGTGATACAAGTTGGGTTGGAATTGTACCCCCCTGGAATTGTCATACAAGTTGGGTTGGAATTGTACCCCCCTGGAATTGAGATACAAGTTGGGTTGGAATTGTACCCCACTGGAATTGAGATACATCATCGTGACGCCACGACTCTGGGTGGGGTACAATTCCCCCTCAAATGTTCCCTACCTATCCACTAAGTAACTCATTTCCTACTTGACGACAGACAGAGTAAATATTCCAGGTTGAGGTTTTGTTTTGGTATTACCCCTGACCAGTCCATTGACGTATGTATTGTTCCTATCTAGAAGCCCCTATTTCCGGAGACATTCCAGAGACTCATAGGTTCGCAGTAACTCTATCAGTGACGTAGTCAGGACCAGTAGCCCCGGGCAACATGATGAAAGTGGTAGAAAGTTCCGGAACCAGGGACGAGGGGACGACCCGCAGCAGGACTAGGTCAAGGCAGAATTGAGGGGAACTTTAATTACAATAGGGTTCTTACAAGCAGTAATCCGTGTCATATTAGACCCTCTAAACCTATCTTGTACCTCTGGGTTTCTAGTGATTGTCTTGGACAAAGAGGCGGATGTGCTAGACTTTCTTCTAAGGAGGCCCAAGAGGTGACATGTATATAATTAACAGCTGATCGAAAAAATTACACGAGCCCAGCTACGCCAGTCGTTTACGGTTGTCTTCTTAGGGATTGTTCATGAACAATTTCTTTAGAAAAGTGAAAGCCCTGCGTTGTTAGCGATAACGTATACAATAACCAGCGCATTGCCAAATAATTACAACAATCAATTATCAAGACCTCAGCTATGTCAAGAGTTTACGTATTGGCCTTCTGAATTACCCCTTGTGGATCTGCCCTTGTAAATAACCCCTTGTGGGTATGCCTTTATGAATAACTCCTTGTGGGTCTGCCCTTATAAATAACCCCTTGTGGGTCTGCCCTTATAAATAACCCCTTGTGGGTCTGCCTTTATGAATAAACCCTTGTGGGTCTGCCCTTGTAAATAACCCCTTGTGGGTATGCCTTTATGAATAACCCCTTGCGGATCTGCCTTTATGAATAACCCCTTGTGGGCATGCCTTTATGAATAACCCCTTGTGGATCTGCACTTGTAAATAACCCCTGTGGGTATGCCTTTATGAATAACCCCTTGTGGGTCTGCCCTTATAAATAACCCCTTGTGGGTATGCCTTTATGAATAACCCCTTGTGTATCTGCCTTTATGAATAACCCCTTGTGGGTCTGCCCTAGATGTGAATGTATTCACAAACACATAGTTATCAGCAAACAACAGCAAAAATTAGTGCACACATCTTATTTACAACTAAATGGGCTTAATGGATTATGTTAGGTTATGAGGATGCACTTTTTCAATCACAAAAACTTGGAGTAAAAAATAAAAAGAATTTGTTACAAAACGTTAATTCACAAATAAATATTATGGGTTAAGTTTGACTAAACAGATATTGAAATTAAACGGAGATAGTTGTAGCAAATAGCAAAACAAAAGCAGTAAATGCAAAAACTTGCTTGTGATAAGGTAGTACAAAATTGTATAAATACATTAACAGCAAACAAGAAAGATTTGAATAAATTTAGAGATACAACCATAGACAAAAAGAATTAAATATAGACTGTCAGCTGTGCAGCGGTTACCATAGGTTCTGGCGCACACCGCTGGGAGCGCCATGTAGTTACACGCGTTATGTAACTACACGGCGCGACGCTCCCAGTGGTGTGCACCAGAACCTATGGTAACCATGGTAACCGCAGCACGGCTGACAGATTATATTTTTTTTGTCTATGGTACAACTAAATGGATGTGATGGGTGTTTGATTATGATGATGACAAAATCTGATCAATATATTCACCCAGCATAAAAATTTGTGTTTGGTGCAGCATTTGTGGTCCCCGTGCGTCTCTCGCACCACTTCGCGCTGAAACAGAACAGAAATTTGAAACATTGGGGAAATATTTTAGTAGGAAAATTTAAAATGTTATTACAATTTGCTTGAATGTTGGGTGTTTTGGTGGCTTCAAACATTTGTGACGAATTTCAGGATATTTCTTGAGTACAAAGGCATAAATAGTAAATTTTAAGAACATCGTACTTCTACTTCACTTTCTATTATTATGTAAAACTTTATTGATTATTGTCCGTTCTCTAAAAAAAATACCTTTATCAGTCTATAGGCTTTTCTTTCTCAAACACGTCCACGATTATAGATTTGAAAATTCAAAATGGCGTGTAACTGACCTACGTTAGAAATAGGACGTATACAAAATTGCAAATATCACTGGGCCAATACCATAGATAAAACACACTACCTTGCTTAGTCTATGCTAAAACATATTGTAACATGGATATTAGATATAATTTGGACTAAAAGTACGAAAAATATATTCATTGGTGAATTCTTCGCAACTAGGTAAAGCGTGGATTTTAGGAGAATTTTACTTGGACGGGGATTTAAAATACTTATGGATCCAAGGACCACAATTCTAACGTTATAAACCAAAGTTTCAAAACACAGATATTTAGCAAAATAAATAAGATTGAAAAAGAATATTTTTTCCTGCTTAACTCTTAAAACAGCACATGAAATACTTTCTCCGTACAGCGAGAAAAGATAAACTGTGATTATTTGATAGAAACATTAAATATTTGACTATGTATTCATTTCAACACTGCCTTGAGTAATTAAAATCTAGTTCATCACCAACGGTTCAGACTCATTTTCGACCATGAAGTCTTTAATTTCTCAATGATAATCTCACGTTGCGACAGCACAGACGTGATAATAGGCACACAGGCACCAACGTGACGGATTAAATTATCATCTTCTTAACAACCTGTGGTTATCTGCTTATCAGCATAAACAATCAATTCGGCTGATCAAGTCGGTATGGGAAAAGCCACCATAGGAAACCCACATCCTAAAATTATATCAAAATTTTTATCTTTTCTTATCTCACCACATCATAAATGTGAATTTAACTTTGAGTCCTGTAAAAGGCATTTTAGGGCTGAATTAATGATAATTTCGATAGATTTTCAACATCCTCATAATGTCCTAAAAAATTCAGCTAAGAAATTGATAGATTGCAAGAAGTTGGAGAAGGACATGTTCTGATTGCTAATAAAAAAAAAGAGTTTTCAAATCTCGTCTTGACATGGGAAATAATTAAGAACTTTACCAGATTAGTACATGACATGAGTTGAAAACAGGGAAATCAGATGAGGAAAACCAATTTTGGATTTTACCTATTGTATTTCCCTGTGTTGCCCGGTTTTAGTACTAATCTTGTAGTGTTCTAGGTTCCTTCCCACCTGAATATTTCACATTTTAGACAGTAAACTGAGACTTGTGCTTTGCTAACTATTGATGCAGTGAAAAAGTCTGCATTCATCTTTCAATCAGCATATCGACAGATTTAGTTTTCAGTTGGTAAAATACCTAAAGCTTCAAAATATATGACTAAATATGACTTACTCTGTCAACTATGAGCCATGCAACTGCTAGGCACTTATTTCAGTAATATCATAGTAAGTACAGCCAACAAAGGATATCTTGGAGTTGTCACCACAAATATATAAAAACCATTGACAATTGACAAGACTAAAACCAGCACCTCTAACATAAGAGAATAACTTAACGAAATTTAAATAATAAAATATCTTCCTCCAAAGAGTATATGGTAAAGCAAAACAGAACGTGCTAATCATGTATTACACGCTTATTTGCCGATTTTACACACAGGCTTTACAGATTTCAAGCCAACTCAGTCACGGGCGATTTGATTCGAACAGAGCAGCTTCATGATACAAACACGTGTGTGTCTAAGGACGGAACTTCGACAACGTGAGAGCACGTTTGTGTAACGTGGAGAAGCCTTAGTTGGGGTTTGCTTTAAGCATTGATTATATAACAATATAGTGGTATATATTCAATGCTTAAGGATGTAATTAGTTAGTGAATACTCGCATTAAGTATATAATAATAAACGTGTTAAGGGATTAGATACACAATCTAAATAATCGCAAGCTGGTTTAGATGTAGAGTGCGGGGCTTCGGGATCAAATTCCACAATCACCGAATGAATTTACTCTATGTGTTTTTGCTTCTTTCTTGGACTAGCCTGAAGTAATGTGTAAGAAGAGTTCAGGGCTATAACAACCTAGCGTACTTGGATGTGAAGGTAGGCCTTAAAAAATCAAAATAAGTACGAACGGTGTATCTATGATGTAAAAGTTGTATATTCTTTAGACATGACTAATGTATTATTATTGGTTTTGGATACTGACTGACGTAGACGTCTAGTTTATGCATAATAGTTATAGCAATTTTTAACCCAATAATGATTACTAGATAGTTCAATGAGTCTAATCACAGCCACCTCTAATACATGTATTAGAGGTGGCTGTGGTCTAATACATTTTACAACCTAATAAAGTTATATTTTTTGCTCAGTGAAACCTTGATCGCTTAAGACAATTCATACAAACGTAAATCTAAATATTTTTAATGCGTTCAAATTGCTAGTAGTAGAGAGTCTACCCTACAATAGTGCGAAAATAGAGACCCAAGTCAAAATTTTAAATTACCTATGTTATTTATTCTATGTTGAGTTTGTGGGACAAGAAACACCATTTGTCAAAAACCAGAAAGATTCTATGTACCCTCCCCTGATCGGTATTCAAATTAAATAAAAATTAAAGATTATTTAATATAGAAACAGAAAAGCGGAATGAGGCGATTAGATTTGTTAATCGGATGAATATATTTTTGCAATTTATCTCGAGAGTGTATTTTTTCAAATACATCGAAGAATCTAATAAAGTCAATAATTAATCTTTTGTTGAATCACAAAAAATAACTATAGAAATTGGTAAGTAAAAGTTTATGTTTCTGTTACAAAATCTGTATAAATTCCCAAGTCTACTTTTTGCGACAAAATTCAAGGGATAAAACCACCTAATTACCAAAATAAATCAAAATATCTTTTTAAAAAAACCTTAAATTAACACTTACCCCACAAAAAACTCGGCTATCAAGCATAGCAATGCCGAAACTAAGGTCTGATCTACCACTAACCAAAAAGAACACTTTCAACATCGCACAAGGACCAAGAAGGAAGTCTACAGCTGATCGATAAGAATCATTCTGGTCAATCAGCTGGGATGTCCTCTGACGTAGACGTGTAACCTCTAGGAGTTACTGACTCCGATCAGCTGATCCATATGAAGTTGTTGTCTACGAGCAGCTGACAGCAAGACAAATCGGTAGACCGGATTGAATCGTATACAGGAGTGAGTTATTAGCTCGAAGATCTAAATAAGACTACTTTTTCGCCACACTATACAGTAAACAGCTGTTTTCCGTACTTTTTAGACTAGAAAGCCATTGCTTATACAGGGAACGGTAAAGTCACGTGTAGTACGGTAAGTTTACAGATTAATTTTGCAAGAGGATTTAGAAGCACCCCTCCTTTCCGCGTAATAGACTCACCCACCGCAACAATGCAAACATTTCGTTAGTTCGAATCACTTGATGAACGAAACAGCTGATCTTTGTCAGTAACAAAGTTACAAAGATCATCTCCATTTTTCACTCGTATTTGGGTTAAAATACGCACCCATCTCTAGGTGACCCATCTAGGTGACGTCCCCATCTCAATTGAAAATACTTCGATTATGAAAATCAGTCGGGTAGAAGAGCCAAACGAAAAGAATAGATTAATTTAACTCCCATAAAAATTAACAGGGAGGAAGTTGATTTTGTGCACAAACTCAAAATATACGTCAGATAAATTAACGTCGATGCTTGATGGCAAATCTGTGCGTGTATACCTTGAATTTAATACCAAAAATATGAAAATCGGTCGAGGAGAAGCACCGAACCGACTCGGAAAAAAACAATATTTTTAATACAGATTTTTAAAACCTAATACATCTTACAGAAAAGCTAGTGTATTTATTATGGTGTTATGGTGTTGGTACTCGCATGAAATATTACTCTCGACAAGCCTTGTAACTATCGCTCGTTGTCGTGATGCAAACACCTACTACTACCCGGCCTTGTAGCGAAATATAGTGCCGACGCGTCAATTTTATGCACTATTTAACGTATCTTAGGAGGTTTCTCAGGCTCGATTGGGTAACACTCATTCCCAGTGCATCTGGGAACTTTTCATTTTACTTTTTAACTTTTATCATATTAACTTATTATTTTAATTTAACTTTAGGAATCCTACTAAATGAGTGAGTCGGGTGTAGCTAATACTTTTCTTTAATAGTTAGTTGGCCAATAAAACAAAACTAGAGGTCGTCTAGTCGTCGAAAATTCTAGCAAAGTATGTAATGTACAGGATTCTCTATTTTCACCCCACGCTGTAAATAAAACTTGTGATAGGAGTTTCTTCCATTTTTTACTTTTTTGATTTTCTGTTCATATTTTGTTATTTTGTTATGGCAGCCCTCATGACCCATGTATTTTTTTATATTTAAAATTATTTTTTGTGCTTATTTTTGTGCCTATTTTAATTTATCGAAGGGATTCTGCACATCTACAGGAACACATCTTTCCACATCTTTCCAACAGTATGCGTAGATTTTCCCTGCGATGCACACGAGCTGACAAAAAAGGGGTTAAAGAAACATGCTTGTCCATCAATATATAGATAACTAAAAAAGGAATCCCAAATATTAAAACTCTATCTGTGTTCTGATTCCCTTGACACGCATTATTAATGTCAATAAATAATATATTGTAGTGTTGGGAGACTCTTTTATTAGTTAGTATTTCACAACAACGAATGTTTTTTGTAACTGTTGGCAACTAACTGCAACGTATACTCTTCGTCGAGATCTCTGCAAAAAATTAACAAAGATCCTTGAACAAACTGACAAATTTTCAAGGGGGAAATTTAAATTGAA